TGCCAGGCTGCGGCAGCCACCCAGACCCAAGTGGCCCCACTCTGTCGCCCCCAAAAGACCCAGGGGAGTAGTGTCAGCCGAGCTGTTGGGGTGCTGCGTTTTGCCTGTGTGTCCCCCGCCACCCCGCCTCCAGTCGGCCGGCCTGTCCCGTGGACCCGTCACCTGTGCCCGTGAGCGGCGCGGCGGGCGGCTGGAGGCGGCTGCGCTCTTGGCCCGCTCTGGCGCCTGCTCCGCCCCCGGGGCCTGTGTCGGGCCAGGAAAGAGATGGGTGCTGGCGCGGACTGGGCCCACCCTTCCCCTGGACCCAAACCAGCCCCCAGGTCGTGCAGCCCTGTCAGCCTTTGGCCGAGGTCCCAGGGCATCCTCTCGCCTGCCCACGCTGCCCTCTGGACACACGGTCCTCTTCCTCCCTAGCACCCCCAGGCCGGGCCCCGCTGCCCACGGGACACTTGCTGGCTCCCTCGGCCCCACTGCCGTGCCCACTCCTCCTGCCACACTGGGGACCCATCGCCCCACCTGCTCCTCTTCACCTCCAGCGGGGATCTTTCTCACGTCGATCTTTCCACTGCACCCCAGTTCTGTGTGTCCCAGTCCCACCTCCTCCGCACCCCGCCCCTTCTCTGCACCGCTGAGCCCCACCAGAACACAGGCGCTGACTGGGGCCCGGGGGGGCGGCAGCAAATGTGGGCCCAGTCGCCTGCAGACGCCAGGCTCCCTGCGAGGGAGGGTTTGCCCTGGGGCCCGCAGCCTGTGCCCACCTCCAGCCCGGAGGCGGAGACGCGCTACATGACCTGAGGGCACAGGCCACGTGCAGGACGGGTCCCAGTGGGGCCGCCTGTCACCCCAATTCCAGGCAGCACGTGGCAGACTCATGATGAGGCACCGGAGGTCTGGCAGAGAACCAGCCCGACCTCGGGGCTCTCCGGGATGGGCAAGGGTTCAAGGTGCCACCTGAGCACGCATGCGGCCTCTCAGCTGCGGGGAGCGCTGTCTCAGCGAGGCCGGGCTCATCCCCCAGTGAGTCAGGCCACTCCTTCGGAGAAACCTGTGGCTCCTCTGGGCCAGCGGTGAGTGCGGGCCCCTTGCCGGGTGGACAGGTGGGTGGGGGACTGGCGGCCAGACAGTGGCGGAGGGCGGGTGGAGGGTGAATAAGCTGCTGCACACAAGGGCACACCCAGGGGCCCTGCCTTCAGCTGGTTGTGGGGTGGTCCATGCTGACGGGCACAGCCCGCCACCCACTGCTGGCGCTGGTGCCTGAGTGCCAGCTGCCCTGACTCTGGAGCTCCCGCCCCCAGCGAGCCCCAGCCCTGAACTGCCAGCTGTGGGAGCAGGGCCCAGCAGCCTGCGAGCCCCACCCATGGCCTGGAGCGGCCCCCTCAGGCCCTACAGAAGCTGAGGGCCCTGTGCCCACTTCAAGGTCCCTGGAGCCGCTTGCGCAGGGGGTCTGGCCCGGGCAGCACAAGGTGGGTGCCGGTTGCCCAGCTGCCTTGGTTTGCAACTGGGACCAGCCAGGTCGGAGCTCTGCTCTGCCCCCAAGACCCCAAGAAGGTCCAGAGAGCCCTGGAGGGTGGGGAGGGGCTGGCTGGGGTGGCCAGAAGCCAGGAGTGGTCTGATTTCAGGGCTATTCGGGACCTGGGGGTGAAGGGGGTCGAGGGTAGGGTGCCCTAGAAGAGGACTTCGAGCCTGGGCACAGTGCAGAAGTAGCCCAGAGGCTGGGGCCACCTGCCAGGCTGCCTTGGGGGCACCCAGTGCACCAGGCATCCTGGGTTTTGGGTTGAGAATTTGCAGAGTGGGGTGCGTGGGTGGGGGGAGGGGCCAGGCCTGCAAGGACATGAACTGTGGGTCCCAGCTGCACCGCAGCCTCCCCGGTGTGCTGGGCTGCAGGCCCCTCCCAGTTCAGGAGGCCTCTGATTCAGGCTGGGCGGGACCGGAACCACCCGAGGGCAGAATGACAATCACCCGCTGGCCGGCGGCACCACTGGTTGCCTCGGGCTTCCAGCCTGTCAGTGCTTTGGGCTGTGGCCGGTGGTCCCCACCCTCCACAGTCTCCCAGCAGCACCGTGCAAACCCAGAGCTGGAGGTGGGGGCGGCCATCCCAGGCCCCTCGGGCTGGACCGAAGCCTGTCCTTCACACTGGCAAAGGCCTACGTGGGGGATTTAGCTTTGGGGTTCGGTTTTGTCAGATTAATCCGAAAGGCTCTGCATTGGATTTATAAAGCCCACGGAGTGAGCCACCCTCCCGCCCTTCTGGGCTGCAGGGGCATGCTGGCCGCCTCTGACACCACAGAGTCCCCAGGCTGGACTGGGACTCTGCCAGCTGCGCAGGACTCAGGGTGGGGCCCCGGAGGGAGCCCCCCCCCCCCCCCCCCCTTGCCAACAAGCCCTCCTGGTTGCTGGCCAGACGCCCCAGCCCACCTACTCACTGGCGGGCAGTCGGCCCAGTGTTTAGTTGCCACAGGTCAACACCCACTTGTTTGTTGGGTTGCTAAACCACAGGTAAACAGCCAAGAGAGCCCCCCAAGTGGTGGGGCACAGGCATGGGGGGCCGGGAGCACGCGGAGCCGCGACAGGAAGTGGAGGCCCACGGCTAGCCGGATGCCTGAGGGTGGCCGGCAAAGGGCCTGTGGGTGGGTTTCGCAGGACCGGAATTTGCCAGGTGAAGCGCTGCGGTGGGGGCGCAAAGGCCAGGAGGCCTGACTGCAGGGCTTGGGGGGCCGCGAGCAGGCTGGTGCGGGAGGTCAGGTGGGCCTGGACTCCATCTCGGGCGGGAAGGGAGCAGCCACGTGGTGTGATCTGTGCCCCTTTGTGGGGCCTGTCAGTGTACTCAGCGGGAGCCGGGCTCCTCAGCGCTGTCCACAGGGGCGTGACCGGAGGCGGGTGCTGGTCGGCTGCTCCCACCGGGTCCTCGTTGCGGTGCCCTGGGGACCTGGAGCTCCAGGAGGGAGGGTCGTCCTCCCGTCTGTCTCGCCAGGAGCCTGGTGATTGGCGTGGGGGCCTCCCGGGAGGCAGAGGTCTTTGGGCACTGCCCGATGGAGAGCGGCCAGCCTGCACCACAGGGATGTCTCGTCACCACTGGGTGCCCGGAGAGCGGCCCCCGCAGCCCTGTCCAAGACTGCAGGGAAGGCTGCCGGCTGGCCGCGCGCTCGCCAAAGCAGAGGCCGGGGTCTGCCCAGCAGGGGCTAAAGTAAGGCTTGAGCGTGCTCCCAGATACCAGAGTGCGGCCAGCCGGCAGCGCGGGCCTCGGGGTGGAGCCCTGAGAGCCGCTGCGGTCCCCATAATTTCATTTTGGGAAAAAGCAAACCTTTCTGCCGGGCGCCTGGGCACAGAGCAGGAGAGTGGCTTCTGCCCGCTTGCCCACCCTCTCGCCAGCACACCTCATGCCTGGCGCTGGGCCGCCCCCCCACCTCCCCGCCAGGCTTGGCCTGGGTCACTGCAGCTCACAGCACGATGCCCAGGGAGCTGTGCCCTCTGCAGGGGCCAGGCCCCTGTGCCTCAGCGGGACACGGTCAGTGCCCGGCCCGCGCCTCAGCCGCAGCAGCCGTGCCCTCGCCTGCTCACCCTGGGCCCACCAGCCTTGAACTTCACCTCTGTCCAGCATGTCCTGTCTCCTACCCTGTCAGCCAGGCTCTGTGAGTGTCCACAGCTGCCTCCCAGCGGAGATAGGCAGGCAGGTGCCAGTCCCAGAGGTGTTCCTGGGCGCCCCAGTGTCTGGTCTCCCAGCAGCCGGGCCAGCGGGGCCCTTCGGGACAAGCACGTGCTTCCTCCTGGCTGTTGCTGGCCTCCAGCCGCGGCCCTGCTCACAGGCACGGGCGGCGCAGCCCGGCCCGCAGGCGGCACGTCCGGCTCCGGGGCTCCCGGCTCAGCAGCAGCTTGGGTTGGTCTCAGCCCGGTGCCACCTGTCCTGACACTTGTTTTTCCCCCTGTGGGACTTTTGGTCACTTGATGTTAAGAGGGAAACGGCCTGTGGGAGCAAGCCATGTGCGCACCGCTGGCGTCCAGGCCTGCTCGCCCCTTCTGGCCCCACCAGGCCTCTGCGCCGGGCAGTCGGGCCGTTTTCAGCGCCCCCTGCCCAGTGGGGCCACAGAGTTCTGTGTTCCCGAGGCGAGGCCGGCGCGGGGGTCCTAGAATCTTCTAAACGGGAGGTGCGTCTCGCCCCACCGCCTTCCTCTGGCCGGAATACACGCATGAGGCTGGTCGGGGTCGGCGTGCTGAGGTGGTGGGGCCGCCCGGCAGCCTGACCTCGCAGGACGCGTTCAGTGAGGGCATTTTCTCGCGGGAGCCGCGGGCCTGGCCCACCACAGCGTGTCCTGACGCCGGCTGGCACGTGCATGGGCAGAAGGTGACTGGGCATGACTGCAGCCAGCCTCGGCCACTGAGGTGCGCGCCCTCCAGCCCTGGCCCAAGGGCTCTCCTGCGGAAGGCTCCTCCGGGGCAGGAGACTGGCCAGGTGACCCAGCGT